TACAAGTTCCACTTCTTGTCATATACCCAAAAACTTTATTTCAAAGAAAAACCCAATGTTTACATCTATTTTAGTGCAGCATTATTAAAAATAGCCAATATCCTGAAGTAACTCAAGTATCTAAGGACAATTGAGTGATTAGAGAAACTGCATTATATATACTCACTCATAATACAAGTAATCTAAAAGAAAAATGAAATCAAGAAAATCAATAGTACTTGGATGGAACTAGAGTGTATCATATGGGGTGATATCAGTCAGAGGAACAGAGTCAAATAAAGAATGATCTCTCATATCCATATATATGATATATAGAAACAAAGGTAAAGGTAAAAGGTAAAGGCCCTCCCGTTGATCGTCGATTTGCTAGAGCGGGCCCAGTAACGTCTCCATTGGAGACTTTGTTGTTACTGTGTCTGGCATATCAAATACTCTCGGTAGCTTGCCGGGCTCTCCGAGAGGGGCGGAGGAATCGAACTCGGGTCGGCCATGTTGGCCGCTTGTAAGGTGAACGCCCTACCCGCTGTGCTATCGCTCCAGCCCTATAGAAACAAAATAATTGAATAACAAATGGATAATGGTAAATTGTCCAGGGGGTATGGGTTAAAGGGCACTTCAACATGTTAATGGAGACACTGACATACTGTTGGTGGGTATGATGTTGGAACAACAAATAATTCAAACTCTATCAACAGTATTGACATTACAGTGCATGAATTAAAAAAATTAAATAAAATCTTGTCAGTTGCAACATGGGTTATGTGGGTGGTCACACCAAGTGGAATAAATAAAAAAAATAGAGATAGTGTAACTTATGTACTGGATAAGGAGAATTAACTAAGGGAACAGACACTGTGAGAAAAGTGTTTCGGGGGTACGTTGGTACAATTCAATCGCTAGCCAAGAGCTGCCTCCCCAAAGACAAGAGGACCATGGACTAATGGTCAATGGTCAGTTTATTCAGAACCGAGCAACATTATTATAAAATATATGAGGAGATTCATGGTACAGAACTTTATGAGGTGTGATCAATCATTTACAGAGGTAAAGCATTTTGACAGAGGTAATTTGGGTGTGTGGGGGGAATTAACTCAAGAATGCAGTCTGTCTAAAGGCTTTTCTAAGAAACCTACTCAGGGGTGACATTCCATCTTTATTGCTTTATTCTTTCTCTTGCTGTTACACATATTAAGCAATCATATTATGTCTACTTCTTATTAATATTTGCAGTTATTTGAATAAGCACAGTAAGAAATATAGATTCCAAAAATTAGTTCTCTGGCCTTTTACCATAAATCCCAGACTAAGTCCTCAGGATCTTTTAGCTTTCCCTATCCCATGGGATCTTATCTTTTACATCATTAAGGCTTGCCTCACAACAGTGCTTTATGATTTCTAGACTGTCCCATATTGAAGCCAGGGTAGCTTTACTGTTTGCCCTGGGTCTATCCAGAGGTTCCTTGGGACCCAACTTTTTGGGTGGATGTAACTCAGCGACTGAAGTCTTAGTCAAGTAATTATGACAGATGCGCAGGAGTAAATATATTTTAAAGTCAAGTATCACTGTCATCCATTGTTCATCGATTTGCTCTAACAGACGCCAGTAACATCTCTATTTGTCCCTGTCACTGCTATTGTAGCCCGATGGCATATTTGGGCCTCTTTCAAGGTCAGGGGGATGAGGACTGTCATTGTTACTGTTTTTGGTTTATGGATTATGCCACAGGAAGCTTGCCAGGCTCTGCCGTGCGGGCAGGATACTCTCTGTAGCTTGCCAGGCTCTCCGAGAGAGTCAAGTATGTTTAAGCAAAGAACTTTGTTCTATAGTAAAATATAAAAAAGGTTATAGGAGAAAGAGAAAGCAAATAATTCACTACAGATACAAAGTCCAGAGTCGCCAGAAGGTTTGACTTTCTAAGTAACCACCCCTGAGTTGGAGAATGTAGTAGCTAACAGAATTAACAGAATGAGAGGTAAAGCATAAAGTAAAGATTAAAAATAAAGGGGATTAGAAGTGCTCATAAGAGCACTGTAAGCTTCTTATGGAAGGTGAGAGGGGCAACTGACTGATGAAGCCTAAACAATTGGGATTAATATACAACAGACACACCCAGTGAAAAGCTGTTCTTGGATTTTGACAACAAAATTGAGATTACCAGAGAGGGAAGGAGGAAAAGGGATCAAAGTGGGAAATTAGTCTAATGGACTGTAGCAAAGCACTTCTGATATCTGAAGTGGAGTGCATTTTGAAGAGGTGTAAAATCGCGTTTTTAAAACATATACAATCATGCAATGCATTATTTCCTTAGGAATAAAAAATATTTTTAAAAACTTGGGGAAAAATTAGGAAGCGGGGGAGAGAGGGTAGGGGAGAGAAGGGAAGGGCAAGGGAAAGGGGAAGTGGAGGAGACAGGAAAGGAAGGAAAAGGAAGGGAAGAGGCATCCCAGTTGTTTGGTTATGAAATGATCTACTGGATATACTTCCCAGTAAAAGAACTTGGTAGACTAATTTATTTTCCCTTGTACCTACTCAGTGTTTTCATACCTCAAATTCTTTTCCATACTCCAAAGTAGTATCTTCTTGTCTTGTTTGTTGGCAATCCAGAAACTTTGAACACAATCACTTTTGTTTCTAGGCTGTAGAACAAAAGAAAGTGCACAGTGTTTATGTGGGTTTTGAGGTGTTAATTATAAGAGCAGCTGGTGGAAGGCACAGAGCAGATGTTTAATTCTCCGGTTCACTCTGCAGCTCTAGGTGTGGAATCCCGGGTGACAGAAGATTTCAAAAGTGATTTAGGCATTGAACTTATGGTAAATAAAGCCCTTTGTTGGGTTTTATCCCTTTGACATGATCAATAATTGCTTCACCTTAGGGAGAAAACTGAGGGGTTATAAGTAGAGGTAGAATCAACATTGAGGAAAAAAAGGAAAAAATAAATTTGGAAAAAGAGCAATACACCACTGAGTTTATAATTTTGTTTGCTAAGTTAATACTAGAAATACTTATTTCTATTGTTTCTTTGTGTATAGGCCATGTTTGTGTTCATTCTCAGTCTCTCTTTATCTTGGGCTCTACAAACTGGCTTCAATTAATTAATCACTGCTTAACTAAATCAAAAAAAGGAGTTGTGTTTGTGCTGGTGGTTATCATTGCAATTCAAGTTCCTCTGTCAACTTTTGAAAAGGTGGAAGTCTTGTAACTGTACCTCACAGTGATTCACTAAAATAAATAAATAAATAAAAATATGAACTGTAAAAAAAAATTCAGATTGTTACTATTTGAAAATTCTGTTGCTGATTTATAAATTGATACCTTTTAGTTAGTGAAAACACATTATATAATTTGCTTTTCCTTAATTTGCTAGACTTTTTCACATCTTAGAATATGATCTATCTTGATTACAATGTCATGTAAGTTTTAAAAATTATGACATTTAAACAGAATGTAAATTTTACTAAGTTTTAGAAAAAATATTCCATAAATACTAATTAGATCTTATTAACTGATAATATTTAATACGTGGATATCTTCACTGGTGTTTTTGCCTCATTAATTTATCAATTGTTAAGAAATGTGCTTATATCTTTACAGTTGTGGGTTTACCAATTTGGGGAATTGCATTATTATTTTTATGATTTTTCTGCTATTTTTTAGTTTATGTTAATAAAACATAAACATAAAACACAGTGGTAGGGCGTTTGCCTTGCACGCAGCCAACATGGCCGACCCGAGTTCGATTCCTCCACCCCTCTCGGGGAGCCCGGCAAGCTGCTGAGAGTATCTCGCCCAAACGGCAGAGCCTGGCAAGCTCCCCGTGACGTACTCGATATGCCAAACACAGTAACAGCAGTCTCCTATGGAGACGTTACTGGGACCGCTCGAGCAAATCGATGAACAACGGGAGGGCCTTTACCTTTTACCTTTTTTTTAGTTTATGTTAATACTTCTTTCTTTCAATTAATATGTATATGATATATTTTTAATCTTATTAGGTTGATACTTTTTTGAGTGATTTGCTATATATCATATAGTTATTTTCTTTATTCTAAAAAAAGAAAAAGAAAACGTATAAAGCAAGAATGGCCTGAATTTTTTAATAGTTATTTAAATTAGAATATTAGGTACAGAGTAAAGTATAGGGTGTTTCTACTATAAACCAAACTTATCTGTTTTAAGTCAAACTTACAGGTGAGTCACAAATCTTAATTAAAACTTCTGATAGGGCACATTTACTCTGAACATCGTTTAGTGTTAGTTATTTATATTCAGAATTGGCCAAAAATGTAATAATTGAAGAAAAGACAAATAATATATTGAGTCACATGATTATTTATTTCTGTTAACCAGTCTAAAGTCAAAAATAGAATAATAAGTTTAAGGTACTTATTGATTTAAATAAAAATGCCACATATTCAAAAATCCTACCTAAGAAGTAGCAAAATAATCCATGGGTACAAAATTAGTTTAGTTGATCATAATAAAACAAAGAAAAAAAAGCATGTGACATGAAAGTTAGACATATTTCCTCTCTCTTTGAACATTTTAAGTATAAATATCCAGGCCAGAAATGCAATCTGTTCATTCCAATTTCCAGCATTAATCAGTGCTTTTGTGTCCAAGTTTGATTCATGCTTTAACCTTGCATAGAACTTGAATTCTTTCTGGCAGTTTATATCAGTCTAACAAATACCAAGATATTAAAGTTTGGTAATAGATAAAAAAAATATTAGTATAGAGTCACCATTTCACTGTCAAAATTCTCACCTAATTTAGAAGCATGTTAGAATATTCCCGTTATTTTGCACATGACCAAATAGTTATCACCAATTTCTTTTGCCTTTCATAAAACTGCAAGTCTGTCTTTAGCAATTCACTGTGCCTTTTCCTCAAATACACAATTGTTTTTCCTCCTTGAAATACTTATAATCAAAGAAAATTGGAACCTGCAGGTTTGTTGGCAAACTAAACTTTATTAAATGTTTGATTTCATCTGTTATAGAACATGAGAAACAGCGATTATGCAAGAGCACCGACTATATGAATTTGCATTTCAAAGTGAAATGGTTTTATAATGAATATGTTCGAGAACTTCCTGCCTTCAAGGATGCTGTTCCTGAATACTCCTTGTAAGTAGTGTTTTTCACCCCTTGGTTTGTTCTCAATTCATAATTGCATAAAAGTAACACCTGATTTATGCAGCCTTAAAATCTCTGCACATAGTAGTCATTTGAATGCAGACATTTCATTATAAAATTTACATTCGGTGATTTGCATATCTTTGAGAACCACATTTAATTGAATCATGTTGCATTCTCCAAGTGTGTCTTATTTGAATATTCAACTGAAAAAGAAACATATGATATGGCTCATGCAATGAGATTATTTTCTGTGAAAGTACTCAAACATTTACTGGGAATATGATAGAAATCATATAATGATCTTGATCAGATAGTACCTTTAATTCAAACTGGAAAGCATATCTTAGAAAATTGTATTTCTAAAAAGACAGTCATTATTTAACAGGTAACTTTCACATAAACATTTCTCTATATGATACAGTTATAATTGCAAATGTATAATAGATTGCAAATGTATAATATATGCATTTGATATTTGCCAGGATTCTATTTTATTCTGAAGAAAATTTTCCATTAGAGGGGCAAGGAGAGCAAAGCATGTAGAAATCTTGGGTTTTATCCCTGACACCACGTGTTAATCTTGGCACTATTAAAATTACATCAGCGCACCAAATATTTCACAATTATTCCTAAAAAGACAAACACATATACTATATACAATTCATAACTAAAATGAAAAAAACATTGTTATAAGATACACATTATGTGTTTATTAATAAAAGTTGGCTATTTCTTAGATTCTAAAACAATTCTGATGACTCAAATATAAAAACATATGCTAAATATCACCTCAGAACTATGCATAAATAAGCTAAAATTCAACTCATAGAAGATATCAAGAAGATGACAATATAGGAAAATTACGCCAAGCACTTTTAAAATTTCATGGTTCATAATCAAAGAAATCACTATAAATGCAAAAACATTTTGAAATGAAAATTGAAATATGAGACAATGAAACTTGAATTTCAGCTAAAATTGAAAATATAACTTTGTAGCTCCGATTCTATATAAACAAAAAATCTGAAAATAATATAATTTTAAGAAGAAAAATTTTAATAGCAAACTAACTCTAAAGAAAGCACAAGAAAATCATTATGATCTGGGCCATAAAAGCAGAACAGAATATATATTTATTTATTTACTTACTTATTGATTTTTGGGTTCCACAAGGCAATGCTCAGGGATTATTCCTGGCTCTGTACTCAGGAATTATTCCTGGCAGTGCTCAAGAGACCACATAGGATGTCAGGGATAGAACCCAGATTGGCCATGTACAAAGTAATTGCTCTATCCACTGTACTCTCACTCTGCTCTCTAAGATAGAAAACTTAATCTTTCTGTAGCCTGTCGACTTCATCTACCTCTCCAAACTTCCAGGCATAATAGTAGAGCAATAGTCTCACCAAATGCTTGCTATATTCTAGATGGGGCTCTCCTTTCAGTCTCTCTATTTCCTGACACAAAGAACTGTAGATGAATAAACATTCTGAAATTAAAAAAAATTAAATAGGAGAAACTACAAAGTGAAAAATTGACTTTTGAAAAAATTCAAAATCAAAAGTGTCTTAGCAGTGATTCAAGTTTAAAAAAGAGACGTCATATATTATTCCTAAATAATTCATAAGCATTTAAAAATTGTAAATAAACATGTGTCCTCAAGTAGACCAGCGTCTTTATAAGGAGGACATTAAGTAGAAATTAACATCATGCACTTCCTAACTATAGCTTTAAGAAGCTTTATGATACTCAAAAAGTAACGATAATGGTGGCAATTAAATCAAATTATATTCTTAAAAGATAAAATAGTTTGGGGCTGGAGCGATAGCACAGCAGGGAGGGCGTTTGCCTTGCACACGTCTGACCCGGGTTCGATTCTCAGCATCCCATATGGTCCCCTGAGCACCGCCAGGGGTAACTCCTGAGTGCAGAGCCAGGAATAACCCCTGTGCATCACCGGGTGTGACCCAAAAAGAAAACAAAAACATAAAATAGGGCCTGGAAAAACAGTGCAGCTTATAGTGTGCTTGCTTTGTACACAGCTGATGTGGGTTCAATCCCTGGAACAATATGGTTCGCCATAACCTTCCAAGAGTGATAAGAACACACACACACACACACACACACACACACACACACACACACACACATCTATTCACAATTAAAAAAGAAATGGCATATAGAAGATCCAAAAGAAACTGCTGTCAAAAAAACTGAAATGAATAGGTGAGTGCCAAGACCAGAAGACGAGCACTGGATTAGGGCATTTTAAGGCTGTACATTAGTCCCTGGAATTATACAGTATGCTAAGCACTCAACACTGCAACCAGAATGTGAGCATCCACAAGAACTAAAAGGTTGGAGCAGAGAAGCATGCTGAAAGTAGACTGTAGACCAAACATGATTGCCACCCATTGCCTCTTTTGCAAACCACAATACCCAATAGGAGAGAGAGAACAAAAGGGAAAGCCTGGGATGGGGGGTTGGGGGGTGGGAGGATGGGAAGGATACTGGGATCCGTGGTAGTGGGAAATGGGCACTGGTGGAGGGATGGGTATTTGATCATTGTATAATTGAAACCCAAGCACAAAAATTTGTAAGTCTACAACTGTACCTCATGGTGTCTCACTAATAAAAATAAAAACATAAAATAAAAAAATAAAAGGATGGAGCCCCTCAAGAGCACATATATAGGGACATCAACCAAAGGTGCTCTGTCCCTGACCAAGAGGGTGAGCACAGCCACCTAACATGGCACCCCTGGTAAGCGAACAACTGAAAATAATGTGTAAGCACCACAGTCAAGCATATATTGTAGCACTGTCCTCCCTTTGTTCATCAATTTGCTCGAGCGGGCACAAATAACATCTCCATTGTGAGATTTCTTGTTACTGTTTTTGGCATATCAAATATGCCACAGGTAGCTTGCCAGTCTTTGCTGTGCAGGTGGGATACTCTTGGTAACTTGCCAGGCTCTCCAAGAGGGACAGAGAGGGACAGAGGAATCGAACTTGGGTCGGCTGCATGCAAGGCAAATGCTTTGTTATATATGTTATTCCTAATCAGAACAACAATGAAGAGAGGAAGAAAAAGTGAAATAAAAAGTGAAGGTGGTAAAATGTACATGACTGGGAGGGAGGAGGGAAGCTGAAGACATGGGTGGAGAGAACACTGACTAAGGGATTGATGTTGGAACATTGTACACCAGAGACTCGATCATGAATACTTTGTAAATTTTCAATTCACTGTAATTCAATTAAGACAAAGTTTATTGAATTTCTACATAATAGTTGCTATTTAAAATTGCATTTATGGAAGTAAGAGAGATAGCACAGGACCTAAGGCACATGTCTTGCATACAGCAGGCCCTGGTTCAATCACCAGAAATACTTGGTCCCTGGGCATCACTAGGTGTGGATATGGAGGGTCTCGAGTGAAGTGTGATCCTTGAGAACCACAAGCACCACCCCAGGTGTTCAGTTTAATCTCTAGCATTAAAGGACCATCTTAGGCTCTTGCACTGAACACCAGCCTGTTGGTTAAGAATTTTGGCAAGGGACCCTGGACCTCTAGAATACCTCCATGCAGGAACATTTGCATACAAACAATACCATTTAAATACCATTGAAGCCATAAAACACAAATACAATGAAACTACACCACAGTAAAAATACAATGTGGGCTTTCAATTAAGACTGTAGCACTATAGCACTGTCCTCCCATTGGTCATCGATTTGCTTGAGCGGGCACCAGTAACATCTCCATTGTGAGACTTGTTGTTACTGTTTTTGGCATATTGAATATGCCACAGGGAGCTTGCCAGGCTCTGCTGTGCAGGTGGGATACTCTTGGTAGCTTGCCAGGCTCTTCGAGAGGGACGGAGGAACTGAACTTGGGTCGGCCGCTTGCAAGGCAAACACCCTACCCGCTGTGCTATCGTTCCAATTATAAAAAAATATCTGAGATTAACTAAACAAAATTCACAGTGATCATAAAAAAGTGCATCATTATTCTACCAGTTTCTCTCACATTGACTTATATAGCTCAGAAAAATAGCTCAAGAGCTAGAATACTTTCCTAGCACACACAAGGGAATTACATTCTCCTACCAAGCACTGCCATGTGTGATCTTGGTGGTCTCTGGGCACATCAGGGTAACCCTTTACTGGTGAGGGCCACACCACCATATATAAGAACCCAATCCTGTAATTCACACACCAGCCCTTAGCCATATTATTGGAGAGATCCTCCAGCCCTTCCCAAATACAAGATGAATGGTTAAGGGGCTAGATCCATAGTACAGAGAGTAGGGTGCTTTCTGTAAATGTGGAAGATCCAGGTTCCTTCCCTGCTCTACATATGGTCCTAGGAGCCCAGCAGGAGCAATCCCTGAGTGCAGAACCAGGAGTAAGCTCTGAACACAGCCAAGTGTGGCCCTAAAACATTTAGAAAATCAAAGAGTGTGCTATGAAGACAGAGAGATAGAACAGCAGGTCAGGCATTTGCTTCACATATGACCAACCTGGGTTCAATTTCCAACACAACATATGGACCTCCTAGCACCACCAGGAGTGACTCTGAGCACAGAGGAAGGAGTAAGTTCTGAGCACTGCCAGGCATGGTCCAAAACCCCCAGCCTCCCTCTCCCCACCCCCACACAGTGTGATGTTAATGCATCACAAACTGTCTAGTGGAATACAAAATTCCAGAATACAAACTTACTTGAATTGCTTCAAAGATAGCAATTCAAGGTAGTGTGAGATAGCGGGTCTTCTAGATTCATAGTACTAGACATATGCACACTGTTGCACTGTAGCACTGTCCTCCTGTTACTCATCAATTTGCTTGAGTGGGCACCAGTAACGTCTCCATTTGGAGACTTGTTGTTACTGTTTTTGGCATATCGAATAAGCCATGGGAAGCTTGCCAGGCTCTGCCATGCGGGCAGGATACTTTCCATCAATTGCCGGGCTCTTGAGAGGGACAGAGGAAGGGAACCCGTGAGAGGGACAGAGGAATGGAACCCAGGTCAGCCACATGCAAGGCAAATGCCCTACCCACTGTGCTATCGCTAGACATATGCACATCAACCTGAAAAACAAGAACTTTGAAACCTACCTGCTCCTTCGGCCACCTCATTGGTAAAACCCAGCTCAGGATGGGCCATTTGTTATAGCCAGTCAAAGGCTATTTGTTATAACCAGAAATAGTTACAAAAAGACTCATCCAAATGTGAAAAAAGTGTTAAGAACTGAGAGAATAGCATGATAGCAAGCATAACAAAGGAGGTCTACATTTAACTGGATATTGAATCATAAAGGTTGAATCATAAAGGTGTGGGGATTATAAACTAAGCACACTAAAGCAACATTTGAAATCAAGAAAAAGAGGTTGACAGTTAAAGAGTGAATATATATGTGATAAGGTCAAAGTTAAGGTATCTGAAGATGTCGCACTGTAGCACTGGCACTGTCCTCCCATTGTTCATCCATCTGCTCGAGCCATGTGCAAGGCAAATGCCCTACCCACTGTGCCCTACCAGTAACGTCTCCATTATGATACTTTTTGTTACTGTTTTTGGCATATAGAATATGCCACTGTGAGCTTGCCAGGCTTTGCTTTGTGGGCGAGATACTCTCGGTAGCTTGCCAGGCTCTGAGAGGGGCAGAGGAATCGAACCCTGGAAAGCCGTATGCAAAGCAAACACTGTACTATTGCTCCAGCCCTCCTGATGTAGAACTGGAAAAATAAAGAGGAAAGAGATCTTGGGGATCTTGGATTTCTATCATTATAGTAAAAGAGATCGGGCGCGTTCAGGGTGGTATGGCCGTAGACCAGACACAGTAACAACAAAGTCTCCAATGGAGACATTACTGGGCCCGCTCGAGCAAATCGACGATCAACGGGAGGGCCTTTACCTTGGGCTGGAGTGATAGCTCAGCGGTAGGGCGTTCACCTTACAAGCGGCCAACATGGCCGACCCGAGTTCGATTCCTCCGCCCCTCTCAGAGAGCCTGGCAAACTACCAAGAGTATTCGATATGCCAGACACAGTAACAACAAAGTCTCCAATGGAGACGTTACTGGGCCCGCTCGAGCAAATCGACGATCAACAGGAGGGCCTTTACCTTTTACCTTTATAGTAAAAGAGCAGTGTCCTATTAATTGCATGAACATAGCATCATTTATACTATTTTTCTTTATTCAATTGTAGGTGGTTTGAGCCTTTTGTCATGCAATGGTTGGATGAAAATGAGGATGTATCAATGGACTTCCTTCATGGAGCACTGGGAAGAGACAAAAAAGATGGGGTGAGTTCAATTACTTTTATTGCTTGTCATCAAGATCTATTTATTTTGCACATTCATAAGCTATCAGCAATTGTTATTTCCATTTTATTAACTAAGATTTGCTTTAATTATATAATTAAAACATTATTTTTAAATTTTTATCATAGCAAAATTATACTAGGACATTACATAGGTTTCACTTGTGCTTCATTATAAATATATATAACTTTTAAGGAAGAGTGGCAGGATGCTGAAAGAGTTGTTTAAATGTTAAACACAACTTGCCTTTTTGCCTTTTCCCTCAAGTCCTAATTCTTGACTTGGTCTGAATGTGTAAATTAAGCTGGTTGAGGCAGACTCTCTTGGTGTTCTGGAAATTTCCTGGGATACTGAGATTAAAGAGACAGACTACAAACTAAAGAGTTCAAGGGTGATAAGGGCAATGGGAAGGGATAATGAGACAATGGTGAATGGATCTTGACACACTCATGGAGGAATTGCTATAGCAGCACGCCAAGTATAGAACATTGATCTCAGTATTTTTAATTATCATTCATCAATAAAGATAAATAGCAAACAAAAGTAAATAACTTTAAAAGAGAGAGAGACCATCCTAGTTCCTCTGAAATCATAAGCTCAGAAGTCTTCAGACACAACTGGATTGTTAAATGACCCTACTGCCTTGGGTAACTAGAAAGAGGATTCATCAAAGGAACTAATTTACAGCATCCTGCCCTACCATGTGGGTTCTGCTACAATTTCCAAAAATGAACATGAATTATTTTAACTTTCATTTTATGATTTTAAGCTTTTATTACCTAGAATTATGAAGGTAATAGAGATTGAGAGGGGAGAATTTGAGAAAGGAGAATCTGCTGTTTAGGTAACACTTCAGAGACTCTTTCACAATCCCTTCCATGATTTTATCAGGATTGTTTTATGTTCTCTCCCCTCAGTTTCAGCAGACTTCTGATCATGCCCTCTTCTCTTGTTCTGTGGTTGATGTCTTCGCTCAGCTTAATCAGAGCTTTGAAATAATTAAGAAACTGGAATGCCCTAATCCAGAAGCATTATCTCACTTAATGAGAAGATTTGCAAAGGTAGGCGAAGTAGAATGAAAATATTGTTTTGTACTATTTGTCACTAACCAACTTTAATTTCTAATTTTATAATAAGGAGTTCAGTTTAAAACGTTCCATTTGACTTCCTGTTTCTAAAGTATAAGGTTCCCCCACTTCCTGTTTCTAAAATATAAATTTAATTGCTTAAAAGCTACTTATTCGCATGAATATTATTGAAATGAATACCAGAGAAGGGAAAATAATTTCTATTTGAGGAGTGGTGTTTTTAGACTGAAAATACATCTGGTATTTTATGTTTACATTGCAAATATGTTTTCCTCGGACACTGTAATACAATAAAATATTTTGAACTTGGAATGGGCTGGAGCGATAGCACAGCGGTAGGGCGTTCGCCTTACAAGCGGCCAACATGGCCAACCCGAGTTCGATTCCTCCGCCCCTCTCGGAGAGCCCGGCAAGCTACCGAGAGTATTCGATATGCCAAACACAGTAACAACAAAGTCTCCAATGGAGACGTTACTGGGCCCGCTCGAGCAAATCGACGATCAACGGGAGGGCCTTTGCCTTTGCCTTTGAACTTGGAATCATGAAAAGTGAATTCTAATCTCAAATCAGTCAATAAACAAAGCTGAGCCTGAACTGTTTTCTAATGTTTTTGTTAATTCAGTTTTTTTAGTTCACAAATGAGACTTGATCAACCATTTTCCTCTTAAGTCCCCTTCCTTCACTTAGAATGGAAGAGGTCTTGGAAAGGGCTTTCTTATTAACAAAGATTTTTATGAAATTTTAAAAATAAGAGCTGTAGTCACTACTCTTCAAATCCTTAAAGTTATTCTGTAACTTTATGCATGAACTATTTGAAAGATTATAGGAAGAAGACCATCTTCTTTGTCCTCAAGGGAACTACAGAAAAGTGAGTAGATCAGAAACTCCAGAGAGTTTAAATAGACAGAGCCATTTTTGAACAAAGCAGAGATCAGCTTAGACAGGGAACATTAGGAAAATTTCCAAAGCCGTAAAGAGTAGCAGAAAAGAGTAGGCAGCTAAACTAATCTTGATGTATCTAAAGCAGAAGGAGCAATAATATTCCAGCAACCATCTGGGAGAAATTGTAGGAAAGATTACAAAAGTGAAGAAAAACCCACAGTAGTAGAAGTGCTGTGTTTTCAAGTTTGAGAATGTTATACTGAATATTGTGAATAATTATAAGATTATTATTGTGAATAATAATAAGACACGCTGAACACTTGGTGATTATTTAGAGCACAACGACATGATACATGTAGTATTGAGGGGGCCAATTATAATGTGGCTCAAGAAATACTTTGGTTCTGTGAGCTAGGGGTTGACTGAGATCACAACTGTTCGCCCAGGTACCTATAGCCTCTTTGCACTCACTGCCTCACTTCACTAGCCACTTTTAGGAGTGCCGTCATGGATACATAATACCTCACTTCAAAAATTCCATTTCTCACTGTCTGGAGATACAAGTCTGAAATCAGATGTAAGTCTGGGACCAGGCATGGTTTCCTCTAATGTGTCCCGCCAGGTGGCTGTCTTCTCGAGATCTTTCATCTTGTACAAGCATCTCAATATTTCTAAGTGTATACAACTGCACTTCTCTTATAAAGACACCAGTAAGTTTTGATCAGAGCCAACACTAATGTTCTTATTTTATTTATTTTAGGCTTTGATTTTAGGGCCACTCCTGGCAGAACTGAAGGGGCTACTGCTGTCTCTTTCTGGTTGGGAGTCAATCCGTAGAGTGCTCAGAGAACAAAAAATGAAAGGGCCTAAACCGGGTAACCCACATACATAGTGTGTATTCAGCTGGCTGAGTGCTTTATCTCTCTCTGATATCTGGACTTATTTTAACTAAATTACCTCTTTTTTTATTTTATTTTTTTTTATTTTTTAATCATTTTTTTTATTAGTGAAACACCATGAGGTACATTTATAGACTTATAAATTTTTGTGCTTGGGTTTCAGTTATACAATGATCAAGTACCCATCCCTCCACCAGTGCCCATCCTCCCCCACCACGGGTCCTAGCATCCCTCCCACCCCCCATCCCCCCCCCGCCCCACCCTGCCGCTGTGGCAGGGCATTCCCCCTTGTTCTCTCTCTCTTCTTTTGGGTACTGTGTTTTGCCAGAGAGGCACTGAGTGGCAATCATGTTTGGTCTATAGACTACTTTTAGCATGTCTCTCCCACCCTGGGAGGGTCTTCACAACACCCTTTATTTGGTGCTCTCTTCTCTATCTGAGCTTCCTTTTCACCTAGCACATGTGGCTGGCCTTCAAGTCATGGAGCAAAATTCCTGGTACTAATCTCAGCCATTCCTGGGTGTTAGTCTCCCGTTTTGTTGCTTTATGTTCCCCAGATGAATGCAATCTTTCTGTGTCTATCCCGCTCTTTCTGACTCATTTCGCTTAACATGATACTTTCCAGGTAGTACCACTTAAATTACCTCTTTAAAGACCCTATACCCTAATAAGTTCTTTTCTGAGATATTGGAGATTAGGGTTTCAACATATACAATTTATGGAACTTAATTCTATACATAGTGAGTATATATGTAACCCTTATTACATTTAATTACATATACTAACACAAGTATATATAAGTTCATTTGCATTATCACAAAATGTCTAAATTAAAATCCTTTACAAAAGGAAGACTTAAGACTGATATGGTATTGGTCTTGATTGATGGGCAGATGGATTAGGAAAGCCTTCTTGTAGAAGATCATATATTTATTTATTTTTGAGTGAAGCCCCACAAAACCAGGTAAGCATAACTCTGAGTCCTTGGACTCCAGGCTCAAGGAACCCAGGAACAGAGATCCTCTGCCTGCTCCAACCAACCACAGGTGACCAAGGGATTAAAACTAGGAGCACCACCCTACCCTGCCCTATGCTTCCACCAACTGCCAGCGACCCAGGGATTATACACAGAAGAACCTCCCTACCAATACCAGATAAATATCTCAACAGCAGACCTCCACTACCTCCACTACCCAGCTGCCTCCATGCTCCAGGCCACTTTTCAGACACATCATAAGACACTTAATACCAATCTTCCAGGATTGCCGCACTATATTTGATAGGATTCAAATATGGTTTGAACTATGGAAAAACCTGCAAGGGCAGTTAGAGGCTGCCCTAAAAGCCTGTATCCCTCTAGGAAAGACTGGCAAGCTACCGAGAGTATCCTGCCCTCACGGCAGAGCCTGGCAACCTATCTGTGGCGTATTCAATATGCCAAAACCAGTAAATGCAATGACTCTCATTCCCCTGACCCTGAAAGAGCCACCAATAGGACAGCGTTAAGAAGGATGAGGAAGGAGAGGCTGATAAAATCTCAAGGCTGCCAAAACGAAGAAAGACAAAAGTGACCGTCTGTACTTTCAATGAACATACATGGGCATCGGACACATCCATCAAGGACCTGATGGTGCAAGTGCAAAAGATCAAGTACAACATCATTGGTCTGACAGAGACAAGAAGGCATCAATCACATCATGCCGTTTTCGACTCTGGAGAACTGTTCCTTGGAACATGTGACAAAAGAGGCGTTGGAGGTGTCGGTGTCCTTGTCAACATGAACTTGGCCATAAGCATTGATTCATTTGAATGCCTAACAACCTGAATCGAACGATTACACTTGAATAGATATGGCCCACTGCCCGCAGTTTCTATCTGGAAAAACCGAGCAGTTCTACATGGAGCTGAAGAAGTTTTGTAAAGAAGACCACAACATCTACAAGATCATTGTCAGTGATTTTAATGCCAAGATAGGACCGAGAAGATCAGCCAAAGAACTCCACATCGAGACCCATGACCTAGAATGGAACAAACAGGGTGAGAGACTGTGTGAGTTCATCATGTCGACCAAGACCATCCATGGTAACTCACAGTTCCAGAAGGCTGAATCTAAACGTTGGACTTGGGAGTCTTTTGGTGGACAGTTCCACAATGAAATTGACCACATCATATTCAATCACTGGTTTTGCCTGACCGATGTTGCTGTTGTCCGAAAATTCCAAAAGGGATAGGACCACCATCTCCTTCATGTAAAATTCTGCTTCACAGAGTGGGGAGAAAGGGCTGCGAAGTTTAAGAAGAGAACTCCCAGAACTTCTACCAACTGGGAGCTCTTTGGCACTATTGCAGCAACATGGGAAGATGTTGTCGTTGACAACATTGACAAGGAATACGATCAACTGGTTCAGAACCTCCATGATTGTGTGAGGAATGCTGTGAGAGAGATAGCCACCAAAAAAAAAAAAATGCCTGTCTTTGAAAACTCTTGAGCTTATTTGCTAACGTGGCTTGGCGCAAGCCTCAGGCAACCACAAGCAAATGTCTGAGCTCGCAAAGCAGTACAGAGAAGCAATAAAGGAAGACCTCAAAGAGAGAAGAGCAGCAGTGCTGGCAGATGCGTCAGAAGTCGGGAAAAGCATTCGCAACGCCCACCTGTCCTTTTCCAACTACAAGACCAAGATGACTGCCCTCTGACGTCCTAATGGATCTATCACATGTTGTAGAAGGGCAACGGAGAAGATTATCTATGATTTCTACTCCGATCTCTTTGATAGTCACATCCACCTGCCAACATGCCAAATTCACCAGGATGAATATGTCATTCCCAATGTTCTCCCTTCTGAAATCCGACACTCCATTTCGTTGGTAAAGATGTCAGTCAGCATTTGTGCCATTTGGCTAATATTTGGTGTCATTAGAATTATGTCATCAGCAAAGTGGAGGTGGTGCAGTTGCCAACCATCTATCTTCACTCCCATTCCTTCCTGTTCCAGCCTTCGCATGACGTTCTCAAGGGTGGCACTGAAGAGTTTCAGTGAAATGGTATCACCCTGCTGAACCCCTCTCTTGACATAAATGATCACTTCTTTGTAGAATGATGAGATACTGGTCGTTAAGCTGTAATACAGCTCACGAAGGATTCTGATATATTGAGTTTGAACGCCCTGTTTGGCTAGGGCTTTTATGACTGCT